ACAGAGATTTGCTAAGCGAATGCAATGGAGATCCTCAATCACCGTTTTGGAGACGAGAAACGATTGGAGCAGGACCTTTTCTTCAGAGTGAGGTTGATTCACCTGTTAAGTCAGCCAACGATATATCGGGCCTACGTACAATGTTCGACCAAGTGCAAACCAATATACGCGGTCTTCAAACATTGGGTGTAATTTGAGTTTTTCATGGATGCCCTGCAATGTTTTGGTGCGAACACTTCTACGCGCCATTATCGGAAAATACCACAGAACCGCTCATTTGTCTGCGGCGACTGCCATGCCTGGTGCCAGCAGATAGCCTGGCCGCTCACAACTGGATTGACTGCTTGATTTTCTATCTCTGGAGGTGAAAAGTCGGGAGTAGAGCGAGTGTGAGACCACAAGATATGAGGACACAAAGACCACAAGATATGAGGACAACATTGCTTGACGTGAATCCTCTAAACCGTCTACATCGGTGCTCTACAACAGACCCTCACCATATAAAATGAAATGCTCTTCTGAAACGCAACAAGCCATAGTACTGCAGACTGTTTTTTTGCTCTTCACCTAAACCAGAAGAAACACGGTTTGACAAAAGAGATAAAGTAATACAGAGTCCCTCACTGTGGCCATCGAGCAAGGCCACTTGCGGTAAAAGACACGCTAAGTTCACGTGTGGCCGGTCATAGATAAAAGCCAAAGAAAACAAATTCGACCCAAAATGCAGCATGAAGGTTTGTACTCGCTCAAGCCACCGAGACATCAGAGGGTCCGGAGTAGTACTTCTGCAAACCTTCCCGGCATGGGCTGTACGTGGTATCCCCTGTTGGTGTACTAGAGGTGTGATCGACGGAGGCCGGCCAGCAGACGTTTGTCACCGAGGATCTGTCAAGACGCCATCAGCTGGAGTGCGTTGGCTACATCATGATGGCACTCGACGCGTTTGCCTCTGCTTCGACTCAAGAGCGTAAAAAACGTCGTGTAGTAGAGCTTGAACTTAGAAGCAAGTTCAACATGGACGCATACAAGATCGATGCGATCAAGATCCCGGTGATATGTCAAGACATATCTACTTAACGATGGATTTAGCTGACATGGAGAAACAGAAAAAGTTTATTGCCGATCGCCCTATGTTTCCAGTGGATTCCACACAACCAGGTGTCGGTATTTTGATTAGCTCTGACCAAATGGGGGGGCTATATCACTGGTGAAGTTACGCGAATTAATACCTGCAGCACGCTTGTTGCATTAAATACCAAGCTCGGTTGAGCTTTCCAAAGACGGGCACCTATCCTGAAGTTGTAAAGAACCCAATCGAGCTTATTCGCCCCTGTCCTGCATATTACCGCCACAGAACAAGTCGAAGACGCTTTCCGTTTATTTTGAGAGTTAGAGAGCCTGGGAAACACAGATTCAGGATACCAAAAGTCCGAAACAAGCCAAGTGATGTCCAAGTTTCAGCAGAACATTCGCCGGTCTGACACACAGTACAAAGTGGCGGTACCGTGGAAGGACAATATATGCGTCGTTAAGGACAACAAGCAAGTAGCGATGACGGGACTTCGGAAATTAATAAGCGGACTCTATATTACTGACTCCCTAATCCTTCATTACGACGAAGCTATAAGAGAGTACCTCAGAGCGGGTCACGCAGCAGTGGTACCGAACAAGACGGCTGGTGATGAAGGCAGAATATTTTGCATGCCCCATCGTGAAGTCATCACAGCAAATGCGCTGACGGCACGACTTTGAGTCGTTTTCGATGCATCCTTGCACGCAGCTGGGTACAAATCTCTGAAGGAACGTTTGACGAAAGGAGACAAGCTTTATGAAGAACTTCTTGTAACTGTGCTGGGATTCAGGATGAGTCGCTTCTCATAACCTCAGACATTCAAAAGGCATTTCTTTAAATATCTGTAGCAGAAAGAAAAAATACAGAAATGCACTTCATTTTGTCTGGTTTTAAGAACTACAATCTTCGACTTTTGAGTACGAAGAGGTACAAACGAGGAGGATGAGGGTTCTTTTTGGTGCCACCTGTAGTTCATTTCTCCGGACGGATACGATCCTCCAGCACCTGAAAAATCTTCCTACGGAGAAGAAGGAAGTGGCCAATGTACTTCGTAACTCTTTTTATGTGGACAACTTGGTTACTCGCACAGGTACCGAGGAGGAAGCCATCAAGTTATGCCATGACGCCAAGATTATTATGCAGAACCCAGAAAGGGCTCTCCGAAAGTGGCCGACGAATTTAAAAGCACTAAGAGATGTTCTTCCTCGAGGGGAGAAAAGTGCAGAAAATGCCACGCCTGTCTTTGAACAAAGAACAATAAAGCTTTTGGATATTCACTAGAATGCAGAGTATAATGTCTTGCGATTTGCATTGCCAACTCTACTAAAATTCGTGGAGTTGAATGATGGCACTAAAGGATTTGTTTTACAAGCCGCATTTACGATTTTCGATCCTCTGTGAGTCTTGTCGCCCTTCACAGTCCGATTGAATACATTTTTTTAGAAGCAATGGGCGAATGAATCACGTGGTACAGTGCTCTACCCTAGGATCTGAAGAGCGTATGGCGAGAATTGTGTCGTGGCCTGCCAAAGCTGGATGCACTTGTCATCCCTAGATTTGTATTCGAGGGAGGACACTGCAAGGACACCCGGACTGATATTTTCTGCGACGCAAGGCCAAGTACCCATGTAGCTGCAGTGTACGTTACAAAGAAGTCGTCGCCACCTGAACGATCTACGATTTAACTAGAAAATGCTTGGGTTGATCTAATCAAGAAGCAGACGCTTCCTCTCCTGGAACGTATGGGAGCCGTCATCGCTTTGAGAGTACACCAATATTTTGAGGAGATCATCCTAGGAATTTTGTACAAATATACACTGTGAAACGATTCAGTCATCACACTGCCATGGCTCCAAAGCGACTCCACCAAGTGGAAGACATTCGTTACAACCGAGTTACGGACATACAAAGGGACACTAATGCTTCTCGTTGGAAGTGCTTTCCGGTGTGTGGAAATCCAGTGGGTTTGCTTACCAGTTGGTATCGCAGGGTCCCGACTGGTATCGAGTGATTTCTGGTGGTCAGGACAAAAGTGGTTGACTGAACACGAAGATTAACGGCCAGATTTGGGGTCCAGTAACAAAAAAGAAATAGACTAGGTGAAAGAAGAGAGAAAAGCAGTTCACGTGATTTTGCAAGCGACACAACCGGAACCGCTGTTGGTTCTACGAGGCACAGCGAACTTCATCGGGCTTTACAGGTGACGGCGTGGTGTCTTCGATTTCTGAAAAACTGTCTAAACGGCAAACCGTCAAGCGAACCACAGAGTGCCAAGGAGAAAGTTAGGACCAAACTATAGTGGATCAACAACGTTCACAACAGCACTTACTTAGACGAAATGAAATGTATCTTAGAGAAGGAAAATATTAATAAGAAAACGTCTCTTTAGTAAAAAAAATGTGATATTCAGCTGCTGTTTATGCAAGAACCTAACTGCTGACACAGCCCCAACGGCTGCACTTACCATTGACCGACTGATGCAAGGCGCGCCTTTTGATGCTGTAGGCGAAGATTTTGTAGGTAAATTGTACGTCAGGAGAGCAAGTGGCAGCGTGAAGTCGTGCTTTGCACTTTTCACTTGTGCAGTATCTCGCGATGTTCATCCTAAACTTGTTTCTGCAATGTCTACAGAAGCTTTTCTACTAGCCCTTCGGCGTTTCACACTACGGAGAGCAATGCCAACAGCGATCTATTCTGACAATTCAAGAAGGAATCGAACGACCTATATGCGTTCTTTATAGCTATGCAAGAAGATTTGACGTCTCACGTTGCCAACAACAGCATAACATGAAAGTTCATTGTTCCCAGTGCCTCATAACGGAGAGGCTGGTGGGAGAGGCAGTGCAAACAGTAAAGGCCACCTACAGAAAGTGCTGGGGAGGGAATGACTAACATTTAAAGAATTATTCATTGTTTTGACCGAAGTTGAGTTAATAGTCAACTTCCTACCTCCCACAATGGGTAGCACAGACGCCACGAAGCCCAAGCCGATAACCCCAGGAGATATCTTGCTTGAAAAAGAAATTGACGTGCTTGACCCGACCCAAAATCGGAGATGGAGCACCAATCCAAGAAAACGGAGCTACTCAAGTTGACCGAGTACCGACGACGCTTAACGGACACCTTGTGGAAATGCTGGCAACATGAATACTTGCTGAAGCTGCGATTGGTGCACCATGATCAGCAAGGTAGTGCATCAACACTAAGCGTAGACGGTGCCGTTCTTATGCATGATAGTAATGCATAGAGGCCAATGTGGCAAATGGGAAGAGTGCTGCAAACTCACAGAAAAACAGATGGCAACATATGGTCCGGCCAGGTAAAGCTGCAAAATGGATTGATTACAGACTGGCCAGTTCAACGTCTTTATCCACTGGAAGTCGGGACGTGACTCATTTTGCGGTCGAGAGAGTGCTGACAATATAGCAGACTGGTTGAGTACCAGCGAACAAGAGAGCAGCAGAATGGCAAGCATGCAAACGAGAAAGGGGCCTGAGCTCACGGCCGGCGAGCGTGGAGCTACTTCCCATTTTTTACCTTTTTTTTCTAACGATGAGAGCGCACGTCGTCAATTAAAGCTCTTCAGTTTTACGTGAAGCTGCCACTGTTTCCTGGGTCTTCAGATTAACACAGGCATAGGTTCGCCTCATGAACGTACTATTATGTTTAGTTTTTACATGAGCATACTTTCCTTTATTCGTTCCAATTGATTCTCTCTTCATCCCTCGATAACTGAGTTACTTGACATTGAGACCACACGAAAGGCAGTAAAATAGTGATCACAAGGCAGACTCGTAATATTATAATGTGAATTTCTAAAGTAAAAACTCAAACCTGAATATACGAATATATTTCGAAGAGACGCAGATTTGGGACCTTGTCTTTGCGCAAAAATACAAACACTTATGTACGAAAACATCTGTTACAGGTCACGGCTATGGCCCTGATTCAAAAGAGACGCACCAAACCGTTGACGACTTTGATGGGATATTAAAGAGCGTCCACGCACAAGTGAAGACACTGGGTATGGAAGAGCAGGTAATGCTATTATGGAATAAAGTTATAATGGAATTGTCCTTTGTCCCTCTTGTTCTTTGTCCTTTGTCCCTCTGTTTATCTTCTCCAGGGATTATTTTCATCAGGTAATGCTGTCTGCTATAATATTTGGATTTTCGGCAGTGTTAGAGCTAATTCTCAGATTGATATGGAAGGCCAGGGAAACTGGTGCATAGCAATTATTAATATCGAAAAAAAGCGAGTATCACATATAGCGCATTTTTCTCATTTTATTTTAAAGACAATTGTTGACGAAATATTGAACTGATATCGGTTTAGTAGGATATATATAGCCGCAACAAAATATTGGTAAAAGCGACCGGGTTTTGTTTTAACAAAATCGTCAGTAAAAACACTGTCATCAACTTCTTCGCGAGCCTTGATAGGATTAGCTGCTGCAGAAGCCACACTGGGCAACATTTTGTCAGTATCGTACATCTATTTCTTTTCCGTGCGAGCTCGTGAAATATGGCTACCTTCCTCGCTGATTGACGCAAAGCGGCTGTGTTTTGTCTCTAAAGTTGGGTTCACACTACTTAATTGTACATCATTTAAAACAAAGGCTGCGCCCATCAGTCACCGCCATATCCGTGGTTCGAATGTCTCGTGCCACGTTTCTCCTTGAACTCATTGCCATGCGGCATTCGAAGCACGGATCTTGTGGGCCCTTGCGTTCGAATCTGTTTGCAGACTGTCTTTTGTACGATGTAGAAGCAGCGCAGCTGTGCGCGCCATAACTCAAAGCGACCCCCCGCATAAAGAAAGAAAAACCAGTATATAAATAGATAACTATACAAAGTCCTGGGCCGGCTCGCTAGAATAGCGTCTCGGCTGAGAATAGGAGAAAGAAAGCAGTGCAAAGGCTGGGGTGCGCGGGCGTTTTGAGGCGCATGCAGTTGAGCCCCGCTAAACTTGTGCGCTTGCTTTATCAGTGCTTTTTTCCCCCAGTCTAAGCTGAGATGCTGTTTCTAGCAAGCCGGTCCTGGTGCCCCCCAGATTGCACTCATCTAAACACATAATTAAAATTAAATACTTATTTTCTCGCAAGGGCATCTACTCCCGGTGAGAAGCTCGCTAGGGACGCTTCTGTTTTCCTCCCATTTGGTAGTGCACGTGCTACCCACGCGGTTATGTTATAATTTTTAGAGTGCATTGGCATTTTCCGCGCTCTCACCAGCAGAGGAAGTTTAAGCATCCTCATTCCGGGTTGTGAACAGAATTCCACCAGGCGGCGATACCCAAAGTTCTCGCCGCGAATATTAGTTAATTTCAACCAACTTGCCTTTAAGATAGTTTTAAATATGACCGTGGGATTTAGTAATGAACCACAATTACTGATACCTTACACTGAGTGTACGGAGCCTTTATTACAGTGCCCACAAACTTGCTGGCTTGCCCTTATATGTCATAAAGAAAAGACACAAAAAGGCAGCACAAGAATGTAATATTCTCATAGCAATAGCATCATTAATTGAATTGGAATGGCATTTTACTTAGCTGCTGCTGGTGTGAGCACCTGGTATAGTCGAACGTCTTAGTTCCACGAAAGCTTACCAAGAATTGTTCACACGCCACTTCGAGGATTGTAGTACGTCTTCGCAAGCCATGTCGGCAGTCTGCGCTTCTGTGCGGTTTCGCGCAGACTGCTATTCTCGCATCTGGTCACAATGCTTGCTTGAATTGTACCTCGGCACGCCGTCAATTTTATCGGTGCGCATTAGGGAAACTACTATCCGCACCGGAAAGCCGCTGCCGGTACCGCACTGAAATAGCGAGAGCTTTGCAATTCGAGCCTTGCCCTGGCTACTCTAAGCTACAGATTGATGAAGAGAAATTCGGGGAAATAATTTTCACAAAATCGACCAGGGAAGGAATACAGATACTTATAGTATGTCACCGGGCAGATGGCTTTTAAACCTGCTCGATGGCTCCTGTATTTCTTTTGTGTGTGTGTACTTTTGCTTACGTTCATCTTTCAAGCGCCAAAATACTTTTGTTTTCTCAACCAAATATTGATTAACGTTTTTCTACTCCCGCCTTTTTTTTTCTATATCTCTTTCATTCTTCAGGTTGCATATTAACAAAAACGGTTAACTATTCCGCCTACGTTGCTCTGTTTCGTATCTGAAGCTTCGTGTCGTTGAGCACATTGGGCCCTGCAGATATGTACAGGAGGCTAATTGGGTTAATTTACGTTTTTGAATAAAAAGTACGTTCTGAATACAAACGTTTAATCCATCTTAGGTATTTTTTTGTATTAATTGTAATGTTGGTTCAAAGTTTGTGAAATGGAGATGGGAGTTTGGTTTCGCAAAGACTTTCCAACTGTCCGGTTTTGCAACGACTCTCCTGGGGTAATTTTGCATGCCGCTTGGAAGTATGCAGGAGTGATTTATTTAATTTATATCTCAGAGTTGTTCACGTTTTTTTTCTGCGAGCGGATATACACTTTTGCTTGCGAAGTGATGACAATTTTAGAATATACCACACGCCAATCGATCGTGTCAGACCTGCAAAAACGGATTCCTAAATTTCAGTAATGTGGACAGAAAATAATTACGCTACAAAGGGATCAACCTAGCGCACGTTTGCGGGATGCTTTCACAACGTGAAGTGCACGCAAAGGCGTGCTAAGCCGGGTGAACACCCCTGTAGCATCTTCGATCAACCTGCACCATGGTTTCCCCGAAATAAGTATCCTGCACCGTGTTACTTGGTGTTGGAGCCCGGAGTCGGTACGATGTCGAAGACAAACTGTACTGCGCCGGGTGAGCCGAGTGGATAGATGGATAGATACGTGTCAGAGCCGTGTATAGAGAGAGTTTGGTCAATGGGAATACTATGGACTTTATAGTTCATAGATTTTATACTTTAGACCCATGTTGTTGTAACAAAGACTATCTCCAAACTACTGTATAAATAAATGCTTTGCGTGTAAAGCCTGTCAAATTATGAGGAGATTGAGAAAACCAGCCTGCTGCGTTAAGTCCTTATTTCGAACTCTTTTTGTGCACGTTCCGCCGACTGAAAAGCATGCGGGAATTTCCACAGCACGCAAGTCGTATCGCTGCGCCGCGGTGTTCGTCCGCAGCATAACGGCCGTCTGCTCTCATCGCCGTCATCATGGCAACAAATGCCGATTATCCGAATGCCGTTTGCTAGCCAAAGTTTAATAGTTTTGCAATGGGCAGCCCCAAACTGTGGTGGGAAGCTGTTGTCACAGCGAAAAAAACTGTGGTCGCAGAAAACTGTGGAGCAACGCCACAGATTGTGGTCGCAGCGAAGCGATGTGAACGCAGGCGGGGGGTTGGGTTAACGCGCTCCCCTACTGATACACGCGCCGTCCGAAAAGGCCATTCGGCGTTCGTACGAATCATGTCAATCGTACCGCTAGTCGCGCGTTTCCACCCTAATAATGGATGACCGTGATTGAAAGATCACATGCACCATATTTCAGTTTCCGAGACTTACTCCAACGCACTTATTGATTTTGTTTCTCGCAACCACCGCCAGGGTACTATTTTCGGCTTCTGGTTGGCCACATTCGAATTTGCGAAGATTTTCTTAAACACGCCCAGCCCACTTTCGGTTAATGACGCCTCCTCATTTGCCTCCTATACTTCGCGATGAATGGCCAAACTCTCTCTATATACAGCTCTGATGCAAGTTGCTGAACACTCCAAACCAGGTGGTGGCTTGCGCCTCCTAGCGTCGCCGCCAGTTCCGGTAGTGTACGCCACCAGGCATCACCTCGGGTTTTGTGCACGTCGTATACGCTTTATATTTTGAACGGTTAATATCAGCTGTCTTCGTGCTCTTTGGCGGTTCTGTCGGAGGGATGTGCCTTCTTCCCGAATTTCACAGACGCTGCGGACGTCATTGTGTATTAAAGACAAAATAGCGCCACAATATTGCAGGCGGTCCAAGTAGCTCATTGTTTACGCCAGCACGTATAGTTTTGCTTTGTATACATTTTGTGACTTCTTGAGGCAGCCGTTTTATGCTCTTTTATTGACGTATGAATGGCGCGGAATCGGGTTCTTTTTTACTCCCCGTACCTCGTTGTCTTCATTGTCGGGTGAGGTGACCAGGAATTCATCATGTGCCGCTGCGAGGAAAGAACAGACGATTTCGTCAGTGCGCGCGCGTCCGCGCGGTTGTCCCGGTCCGCTACTCGCCCTTCTAACTACAATACTTGCTGGAGTTTTACACCGGCGCACCATCAATTTTCTCAGTGTGCGTTGGTGCAATGATAGGCCGCGCTGGGAGGGTGTACTCCATTTATCGAAGACGTTCGGTGCGCACTGGTGCTTTTTGTTGAAGATGACGGGGCGCTCCTCGGCGCCCCGGTGCGCGCCAGAACGGGTAATGAAATGTGCTTAAAACAAAAGGCATATAGATGGGCGCCACTGTGGCGTCACCTCAATATTTTGCGTGAAAAAGTTATACATAAAAAAATTAGACTTTCACATATTCCTGTAACACCGACTTAGGGCCCGGCTCTTGAGGAAGAGCAGGGGAGGGTCCAAAGGGGAGGGTGTGCCTCTCCTCCTCATCCGTACTCTCTCCTCCTCCCCTCCTCCTTCTTTTACGCGCGAAACGCGCGTCGTCAGGCGACGTTTCGGTGAAGTCACGTAACATTTCGGCACGTGACTTCCACATAAATGTCACCATGCCAAATCGTCACTCACGACGTTTCGGCGAGGTGCATTATGGGACTTTTCTTATAATGCACCGCGCGGTTACGGCGACGCTGACGCCGATGCCGCTCAAGCCTAAGCGCCTAAGCGCTTAGGCTTGAGCGCCTAAGAGCCGCGCTCTAGAAAAAAAAAAAGATTGCAATGTATATAACGTAGGTTGCGCAGTGTTGGTTGCGTCCCACGTCGACTTATGATTTGGCGGATCTCGGCACATGCAAGACATTATTTTCTAGTTTAACAAACACCTAGACAAAATTACATCGCAGTATTTTAGTTGATGGCTTCACAGATGAACCTAAAGCGCTACATTGTTTTTTCTATAAGAAAAATTACTGAATTTGTCCTCTAAGCTTCCTTCTTTTAATTGCTTATAGTATCTCGCGGTCGCGTGAAAATATTGGCATATGTTGTTTACAAGTTTCAGGCTAATGTTTTGGGTTTGCGTGCCATATATTATAATTTTCCCTTATTTCAAGTCATTTTTATACGCCTTTGACAGTGAATGCACTTAAACCTGTATGCATTCAGGTTTGTCATTCAGAACTTCAGCTCGAGAAACATTGCTAACATTATGCTCAAGCAAAAAAAAAATCGCTGATCAACGTTTAATTGAAACGTTTTTTTTTCCAACAGGTGAATATCGTAATTGTTTCCGACCACGGAATGACCAATACAAATAAAGAGGCAATAAAAACAATCGATATAGACTTGCTTGCTGACCCCGATGAAATTCACATTATGCTGGATATTGGGCCACTTTCTATGGTGTATCCTAAACCTGATAAAGTGATTGAAAAGCACGCGCCTTTGAAACGTATTCAACCCAACAAAGTTATTTTATTTTAGAGCGCAGCTCTTAGGCGCCCGTTTCCGGCTTGAGCGGCGTCGCCCTCGGCGTCGCCATCGCCGTCGGCGTAACTAAGGTCGCTCCAACCTCACCCCAAGGTCACGTGACCCCAGGTTACCCCAGGGTCACGTGACCCCCGAGGTCACGTGACCCCTCCCAAGGTCACCCCAAGGTCACGTGACCCCGAGGTCACGTGAGCCCTCCCAAGATCACGTTACCCCAGGGTCACGTGACCCCTCCCAAGGTCACGTGACCCCTCCCAAGGTCACGTGACACCCAACTTCTAAGGTCACCTGAAGGTCGTGATCCCCAGGTCACGTGACCCCCCCCGGTCACGTGACCCCCGAGGTCACGTGGCCCCCTCCCCGAGGTCACCTGGCCACCCTCCCCTCACCGAAGTCACGCGACACCCCCCCCCCCCCCCCCGAGGTCACGTGACGCCCTCCCCCCGAGGTCGGGTGACCCCCACGGAGGGGAGGAGGAAAAGAAGGAGGAGGAGGAGGAGGGGTCTACCGTCCCCTCAGTATCCTTCGCTCCTCCTCCTCAAGAGCTGCGCTCCAATTCGGCATTACAGGGAGTTGTAAACGGCTTTCACTTTTTCATTTATGTTTTGCTTCGATTTTTCAACAATTTTATATGTATAGGAACGGTAGGCACAAACTAATCACAGTAGATTAAGAGGTTTTAGCAATTATTGTCTAACGGCCTGTCTGAAAGAACAGGTATTAAAAAGAACCGGCAAGAGACCAGTATCATTTGTTGAAGAGGGTGTTCAATTTTATAGTCTTGCTCGCTTCATCTGTGAACACTTGAACTTCACTATTTTATTCACAGTGACTATGCGTTCATTCTTGACTCTAAAAGCAGATTGTTAACGAGGATATCAATATTTTTATTAAGAAAATTGCAGGTAATATATATATAATTCATGGCAAGTGGTAGGTGACTCAGAAAGAAACAATCGTCCCTTCGTGACAACTCCGTGATTGTAGAGAGCTACCTGTTTTCAAAGCAAAAAAAGATCGATCAGGAAAGCAAGCAAGAGCCAAATTTTATCAGCGGTCCTGTTGCCTTTGTCTTTCTGCCAAAAAAGACTGCACCTTGCGGGCATCGCTAGGCATCATAGGTACACTTTTATGCTCTCAGACTGATTTATTTTAGGCAAAAAATTAGGCTGCTATAAAACACAATTCTCCAAGTGCATCACATGCATCATTCACTTGATGTTTATTACGAACATAATGCACAAGCGAGAAAATAAACCCAATTTATTACATTGTCCGGTCATATTAAGACTTCAATCAGTGTACTGCATTCCTAGTCTTGACCGAAGCAGCGAAAGCTTCCACTCAAGAGGTAGGCAACAGATATTTACGAATTAATAGTCTCGCTAACCCATCCTTACATGTTTTATACCTACCTGCAAGTTGAAGAAAAAGACAACAATAGGAGAGCGAGAGGTTGTCCTACTGTTGTCTTTTTATTCGATTTGAATATTTCTTCAATTTTTCAGCATCGCAGTTTGCGATGTAGAAAGAAAACCAGGTGCGTGAGTCGCAGATTATGAACCTCAAGGATCTCTATTGAAAAGAACCCTTTAGTCCTGATGTGTTTAGGGAAACATCCCAGCCCCTAAACCCCTTCAGCCCATCAGACCCCTCAGCCCTTCAAACCCCTTCAACCCTTCAAACCCCTTCAGCCCTTCAGATCCTTCAGCCTTTTAGACCTGTGCAGCCTTTGAACTTTTTAGGCGCCAAAATGAGTGAACTACACACTAAAAATCTAGTTGTTTAACGTCATTTTAAGTTATTTTAAACTGAGTTTAGATACATGTTTAAAATAAAAAAAGAATAAAAACCAACATATACTGAAACCATAGCGCAAGCGGCTGTAGACAAAAGTAGATCAAATAGCGGCAACCAAGTTATTTTTCTCTTTCGATGCACTAACACACACAAACATATTAATGAACTTTACAAATATCTGTAACGCGAAATTAGAGCGCACCTTTTAAGGAGGAGGACGGGAGGGTATGGAGGGGAGGGTACGCCCCTCCTCCTTACCCTCTCCTTCTGTCCTCCAACTCTGCTCCTCGTCCTCCCCTCATTTCTTCCTCCTCTTCTCCCCTTCTACTCCCTCCATTCTTCTCCTCCCCTCCCCCTCATTTCGTACTTTTACCCTCCTCCTTCTTCTTTCCTCCTCCTTCTCCGCACCTTCTCCTACTCCTTCTCCACACGTGACGTCTATTTCCCTGCTAAATCTAGCAGAGCAACTGAATTTGTTCATAGGTGACGTGACATCAAGTCATGTGATGTCAGTTTCCCCGCTAAATATAGCAGGGAAACTGAATTGGTGTTTAATTCACATGACGTCAATTTTCCCTCGAAATCTAGCAGGACAACTGAATTCGTTCATAGGTGATGCGACACCAAGTCATGTGACGTCATTTTTGCCGCTAAATTCAGCGGGGAATTGAATTGGTGTTGAGGTGACGTGACGTCAATTTTCTCGATAAATTTAGCGCGGTTACGCCAAAGTCTACGGCGACGCCACAAAACTCGGAAATGGGCGCCTAAGAGCTGCGCTCTGAAAGCGATCACGCTGTCAGCATCACGTTCAGCAAAAACCACGAACGCGAAATCAACATCGGCCGCCTTTGACGAAACCCAAGCACGGGCACGGTGTTGTCGCTAGAGCGGTCGCGGTGGTGTCTCCGGCGTTGTTTTCGCTGACTGGTCCATCTTTTGAAGCCGGACGCACAAAGAGGCGCAAAAAACAGGGCTCTGAGAGACCTACCTTTCCCACACATTGCGCTGCTTTAGGAAATAGATCCCACGCGTGAGTCGGGAAGCCGACACTGAGTGACCCACAGACCGGTTAGAGCTGTTTTGATGGGTCACCTGCTTCCCCGAAAACGATTACGAGAGACCTCAAAGGCTTCTAAAAACTATGGCGGGCTTCTCTCGCTCTTCAGGAAATTCTTAAGTGTACGTCAGGCCCCCTAGAAAACTTTGACTGCCATATAAGACCGCTCAGAAATTGTTCAAAGGTACGTCCAGACACTTCAAAGATCCTGGTGGGCCTCACGGACGGTTTTTCAATAAGTATTTACTCTAAAGCCGTGCTCACACTGCTAATGCATTATACAGAAAACAACCTGCAGATATTATCCGAGGCGTGTTTCTTCATCGTGTCGCAGCACTGTCATATTTTCCATAAAAACGTTTCTGCAGACACGTTGAAAGCATATATGTGTATGAAGCAAGCATACTTCTAACATGATTTTGTGCGTGGCCGCAAATAATTATATCATCGCGTATGCATCGAACGCAGTGTCGTTTGTATGATGTATGAGCAGTGCGAGAGAGGCGTAAGTGGTATTTATTTAATAGAGAGTTTTAGTAGATCGTTTTCAAAGGCACGCTACCGCTGCGGGCGCGCGCTTCAGAACATGCATCAAAGCGGCAGCGCGAGCTCCCGCTACAAATAGCGTGGCCTGAAAACACGATCTACTAAAACTCTCTAATGTATAAAAATTTTTGCACGCCGAAAGCGGCGTCAACTTCATCAGGGTTCTCTACTCACTGACAAAGGCATTAAAGACTCAACAAATGAAATCATATTCCTGACCGTAACACCGTATCATCGCTAACGTTCACTATAAAAGTGGTGATTAACGAACACTCGATTAAGAACTACGTATCGCAAAACAGTCTTACGTTTAGTTATCGTAAGTTAACAAACCGTTCTCGTACAATTGTACGCGACATTCCTAACCTGGTTCAGATACATTGTCTGATCAACAAAGAGCAATACAAAAGTCAGTACGACATCAGACCGTCATCCCAGAACTAGGCACCTATTACCAAATCGACCGATCCACTTTGAAGGGACACTAGCAGGGTAGTTATGCTTGCCAAAGCTTTTTTATTTGTACATGACATATGAGAGCCCATCTGCCCAGAACACAATTCGCGGCTCAAAGTTCGTTCCCTTTCCGCCCGAAAAGCGCCGATCGAGGACTGGCCTGTTTAATTCCCGCTCACTCTCTCCTCCGTGGTCACGTGCCAGTTTCTATGGCTTAGACACAGCTACCCAAGGTAATCAAAGTCGTGGGTCATCGAAGGCACACACTCAATACTAAAAATAGCCGAAAAATAAGATACCCATTTTTTTTTGGTGGCCTCCAAAAATCCGCAAATACGTCGATTGAAAAAAAAAAAGAAGTTGCACAGTTACGTGACTTCCGGTCACTTTCTCCTCCTCTATATTTCTTCTTCCTTCCCAGTCCAGTTTCGATTTCGGTTTCGAGCAGTTGCGTTTTTTGACTTTATTAAAAATATATGTGACGCTGTAGTAAAATATTGATTGGCTAGTCTTCTGTCACCATAATAAATCGCATAACAAAAAATAAATAAATAAATTTCGGGCTGTTAGCGTCTCTTTAAGAAGAAAATTGGGAATAAAATAGAGCCACGAATAATTATGCAACCGTTCTACGCTTTTCCATAGTTCGAACTGTATTTTACTGGGCGACGTGCAACACATCTGCTGTTTGTGAAACTGACGTTCTTGATCCCAGACAATGCGGCACCGTTCTAACTTAGCACCAAAGGTATAGTTATAAAACATTTTATTTCCTCAACTTAGTTCTCACATCCTCAAAAAAAAATTCACATAGAAGAATTGAAAAGCGCGGAGGCGTCAAAGGTGCCGCAAAGAAACGTTCGCTGGTTTTCTAACATTTCTTTTACAACTGTGTTCAGTCGTCCGTCGGGAGGAATGTTTGTATCGGGGCACTATGCAGTATAGGGGGTGAGGTGGTATTTGCAACATTTAGTGTTGGTCACCTTTTTCTGCGACTATAAAAAAACACGAAAAAAACACGTTGTCACCTTGTTAAGCCGCTGTTAATCTGCCTATCCATCATTCAAGACGCAGTTTGTGGACATTGTTGGCGATGTGTTTCTTTCTTGTAGGACGTCTTTGTTCCATTGGTCGTACAAAAACTGTCTAGACATTTTCGAAGCATACATATGGAAGAAGCAATTGTGCTTCGTATATGCTCCAAGAGTGTCCAAAAATAAGTATATCGCAAATGTCCGCAGCGAAAACCTTGCGTTTTGTGTGAGGCTTGACAGTGCGATTGCGGCTTTAGAGCTTACTGCGTCACGTAGTGAACGTTTTGTTTAACGCGTAATACCAAGGAGCTGCAGTAGTGTTTTAGGAAATAACAGGCAAGTTAAGATGCAACAAACGTTAACGTAATATACACACCTGAACGTCGAAAACTGTCAGTTCTTTATTTCTACCTTTCATGCATGCGCCATGACGATCTTTTCGCCTCCAAAAGGTATATGAGTCCATAAAACGGAAGCAAGTCAAAGGTCTCAGGGCTTACCTAAAAGAAGACATGCCAGAAGAGTGGCACCTAAAAAGAAATCGCAATGTCGGTCCGATTGTGCTGATGGCAGATGTCGGATACTACATCTTGCCGGTGAGTTTTTATTTTTATATCTGTATTTGGGCAATAATAGGTGTAGCTCGCGCCGGTGTTGCTACTTAACTAGTACTTATTGTTTTATCTGTAACCACGGTTCACTTTTTCATGGACACCAGTTTAAGCAGGGGATACAGTTATCGCACTTTAAGATTGGAATGCCCCCACCACACGACAAAAGTAATGTTATGTTCAGCAGATCTCAATCCGATTATGAGCGGGATCAATCTTCGACCGCGTCTCACGCAATCATTTAACGTTATTTAACGTCATTGTAATGATGAGGTTAATTCGCTTTAGTTAGCGATATGCAATATTTTAAGAATAGAGCATAATTCCTGGTACCACGATATATTCAATATTATTTAAACGTAATAGTACGCAGTTTTTACAGCGGACGGTATCAACTTGCTTTTATTAGTGCTATCTTGTTTTAACTGTATGCCAGTTGGCATCAAAATATAAGCGAAATTGTGCCTTTAGCTTCAAACTGGCGTCAGAAGTCGAGCACAAAATGATAGGGACAAGAATGGCCTCAAACTGAGTGATATAACATACTCGTAACCCCGTAGGCTAAAGAAGTAAATGCATATGTAATAAAACATATAAACGCCACCATTTCTTTTCGCGTCTTTTTTATTACAGATTTCTGTCGGTGTTCTTCACTTCGTTTCTGCCATCGAGATTACTCAGTTAGTCTAGAGCGAGTACTAATGAGTTCATTCGAACTCATTACGTAACGAATGTCATCTTCAGCAATATTCATTTAAACGTCCCTTGTGGCACCAAGGTATTGAAATTCGAATCAAATGTCATTCGCTTGATAAAAGGAAAGCATCGTCAAATGAATTATTGACACCAGACGAAGAGGTAATCGCGTTCTTAACAAAATTAAAGACAGGGCAGAAGCAGTTACTGCAGATCATCCAGGCTGTACCATAAGGCAATCAAAAGCCAATGAAGCGCTGGCTGCGGTAAGAAAAAGGATATCTAAAAACGAACTAGAGCTTACAATTGTCAAAGAATTAAAGTGTCACGTGAATTACCTTAAAGTTAGTACAAGCGATTATTCTAAGCTTGCGAACCAAATTCATAGGTCTCAAGACGACCTGGATAATAGCTTCAGCAGACACAACCTCTTTTTTGGCCTGCCTGACTCACCGGCTGAAGCCTGGCATGAATCGGAACTTGCAGTATTTAAACCCATAACTGAGTGGTTGCAAGTTTCTGTAGAACCAAATTTAATTGACAGAGCGCATGGAATATGCAAGCACCAAAACGAGAAAACAAAGGCCTCTCGTGATTCGCTTTAACCAGTCTAAAATCAGGGACACGATTCTTTTCGCTGCACATAGGCTGAATGGGCAAAAGGTTTCCATCACCGAGGATAACTCACCAAAAATAGTCCACGCTCGTAAACGACTTACTGAGCGCGCGAAAAGCATAAATTCCACGTTCAGGCTTCGCTTTGATAGGATGTTTAGTGAAAATAAGTGCTACATTTTTCATTAGGCTAACAACTCTGTGAAAGAATGTCCGCAATAGCAGCAAAAGCCTGTCACCTCCCGTTCATTAACGACCAGCGCTGTCAAAATATATCACCTTGTTCCTCTACCCACTTTTTATTTTTATTGTGCAACCTCCGCAGCATCTCGTTCAAACGGTATAAAATCTCCTCGATGATTGACACGTGTAGCCCTCACATAATCTTTGAAACCGAGATTGGGCTATCTGAAGATGTGGAGCACGTTCCGATGGCTTTTCTTGGAAACTACAACATTTTGTTTTTCGAAAAGATAGGCTGCAGAAGAGGGGGAGGTGTAATGATTGCAGTGAAAGGTACCTTATAATGCGATCGCTTTACTATCGACTCGGAACTTGAAGTACTCTGGTTTCGTGTGAAACTGGCATGTACCTTTTTTTATTATTGGAGCATGTTACCGACTGCCATCATTTTCCCGTCGCTTCTGTGACATTTCGAGCTAATGCACTAACGGAATAATCAACAGCTCTCCCAGAAGCCCGGAAGTCTTGGGTGTGACTTAAATTAACCAGGTATCAACTGGAGCGAGTGTTCTATCGGAATTCGTCCGCGTAGAGTGAGTGTTTGTCTGTCTCTCAATCTTGCAACCTTACTCAGATGGTCACAAATCCTTCGCGTGGTGATTCTGTGCTCGACCTTTTCTTTTCGTCTGTGCTTGATTGCATTTTCGCTTGCCACGTTCGAGAAACTATTAGGGATCACAACGCCATTATAATTGACTCAACATTTTCTCATGCTGGGCGTATTGTCGTTAAGAAAACGTATCTGAACTATTGCAAACCCGATTTCAGCAAACTGCTTAGCTCTTCCAGTTCTTTTTCACATGACGTTTTGGTTCTTTTTGACAAACGATCTGTAGCACAGAATGGGGTTGTGAAATACATTGCTTCGTCAAGGAGTTTGCCCCATCAGTGTCAATAGGAAAGAATATAGCGAGCCCTTGGTTTAATACCTTCCTTAAAAAGCTCCTTAACAAAAATAAACGGTTGTTTTCTTTGGCCAGGACAAGGTATTCTCCTGAATCCTGGGCTAAGTACAAGGAAAGTGCTAAAACGTACAAATAGAAAATAAAAAGATGAAGTTTCTTAGTCATGATTTGTGCAATATGCTATCAAACAACACAAGAAGGTTTTGGTAGACGATCTCGCCTAGACGTGAAAATTCATATTCCGTTCTCAACGATAGTAGTGGAACAATAATACCACCAATTGACTTTGTTTCCATATTTAACTAGTACCTTTGTTTGTTCTTTACCGAAGAGTCATTTCCTCCACCGTTAGCTTCTCATCTTGTTAGTTTGTTAGTACGAGTATGTATTCAATAATTTTCACGCCGTGTGGAATAGCTAAAATCATTGACCATTTGCGCCCAAGTTGTCCTCGTGGTGACGATAAAAGTTCAGCGCAGTTTTTGAAACTAACTAACAATAAAATATACACTCTTTTGTGCAGCCTTTTTATGCCTCTTTAGAATCTTCAGAAATACCCAACAAACGGAAATTCGCTGAAGTTATTCCTATCTTTAAATCAGGTGATCGCAGTAACTTGTCCAAGTATAGACTGATCTCTCTTACCAGTATTCCTTGAAAAATGATTGAGTACGTCATCTACTCTCAAGTTATGGACTATCTGAACGATAACAGTTACCTTTCTCCCAATCAGCATGGTTTTCGAAAAAGCCTCTCATGCGATTCTCAGCTATTTGAATTTGTGACAAAATTGCATGACAGCTTTAACGACTCCTCTGCCACCAATGCAATATTCATCGATCTCGCTAGGGCCTTCAACACTGTCCCTCATCAACAATTACTACGGAAACTTTCAATTTTAAACATTAGCAAAGACCTTACCGATTATATTTCTTCTTTTCTAGCTAATCGCGAACAGTCTGTGCCAAAGACGACACCTCCCCCCCCCCCCCCCCATCGCATTCAATTTCGGTAAAATCTGGTGTACGACAAGGCAGCACTTTAGGACCCTTGCTTTTTCTGGTTTACATTAATGACCTACCTCCGCTAATGTCGTCATCCGTAAGACTTTCCGCCGATGATTGTTTTATATATGCCGCATTTCCCATCCCAGTGACTCGGAAATCCTCCAACGAGACAGACATTCTGGCGGAATGGTGCTCAACATAGCAAATTAATATCAATATTGCGAAAACAAATATGGTCATTTTCAATCGTTTGAAAATATATATTCCGTCCTACTCTTACAACTCTGTCGCTATTTCAACTGTTCTCTTTCACAAATACATCTGTATCATTTTCACAGAGAATCTGTCTTGGAATACTCACATTGATAACAGAATTAACAAATCATCTGGAACGCCCGGTTTTCTTCGGAGGCAATTTTTCCATGCCCGACAGAATGTAAAGCTAATGGCATACAAAACTCTCGTCCGATCTAAACATAAATATGGCAATCTAATATGGGACCCTCATTAGTCTTACCTGATCACTAGTCTAGAGTCAATTCAAAACAGTGCAGCCCGATTCATTCATCGTAACTATTCCTTCAAAAGCAGCGTGTCCCAACTTAAGGATTTTTACAACATAACTTCCCTTGATGTACGTCGCAAACTATTTCGTCTTTCCTTTTTTCGTAAGATATTATATACCATCTCTCATGCTGATGTAGTGCAAGCCTTCCTCATACATCTTCCTACGTTATGATAATTTCCTGAAGGTTGGACAGAGCTCTTCCATTGGGTCCCCGAAGAAGGTTAAGCCTATGAAAGCTCGCTTACGCCACCACACCACCGCAGGAAATCAAACGTAGTGGCGAAAAGGGGGGCGAACCATGTTGAAGCCAATACTTGCCTGCCTAAACCCGAACGTTGTGCGTTGAGCTGGCGCATGGCACGGCAGGACCTGTTTTCTACCGTCATGTGTCGAAAGCGGTGACCCCTATGGGTTGCTGGAGTCGCGTGTACGGGCAAAAACCCCGTGTTCTCCTTATAGCTGCCGTGCACACTCGTTCGTGCGGTGCTTACGCGGTTCAAACCGACAGCCTCGCCCTTGTGACTTCAGCTCCTCTCACGGTGAAATAGTATATGATAAAACAAGTATCTTAAATTACCACGAAGAAGCGACTTTTAGTTTAAATAACCGTTGTTAAAAATTACTGTCGTCGGTTTGGTCTCTGTAAACGCCAGAACCTGGGACATTGGAAGTGCACCGAGAGAACAATGTTAGGTTCGAGAGCATAAGCATTAAAAAGTCACTAATGAAGTAGAGATCACACTAGAACAGTGGTGTTCAGACATGTCGGCCGTATCGAGAATCTGTCTCTGTCATGAAGGCGAGAAAATATTTGAGTAAAATATAAATAAAAAAAAATACTGTTAGACACACTCAAATACAAAATTAAAAGTTAGAGTAAGCATTAAGGGAGTTCAATAATCATAATTCATTTTAAAATTCAATATTTATCTAATTATGACATTGCACAATAATGGAGACCCAGAAAACTTACAAGGCATAAACAAAAAAACGCATAAAGGAACGTTGGCATATTCACACAGGGCAGAAGACTAATACGAATGTTAGAACTAATGCTAACGAAATTGTGAGTTGGACCAGTTTGTTCATTGTGCGGAAAAAAGCACCAAAAACTGAGACACAGGAGAGAAGACGACAACACAAAGCCCCGTGTGTGGTCGCCTTTTTTACCCTTTAACAGTTTTTGGCGCTTTTCTTTCCGTATGATACTGACACTTTGCAATAGGTACGACATAGGTCACAAAGCAATGCATAGATGAAAGCGCAAACGAATTTTAACATAGGTAGTTACAAAGATATGAAATAAAGGACTAATAATGGTGATGCTACAGGGATGCCAATTTCTAATGAATAATGTGACAAGAGGACACTCTCTGCGTTTCTCTCTACGTTTCTCTCATGTTTTTTGGAACCCTCGTATGCTCGGTTGGTGCACGTTGCAGTCTCATTTCTTTGCGAGCGCGTATTCTTGCCGAGCTTCATTGGAAGGACCGCGACCGGCCACTGGCCAATCGGAAGACCTACGCAGGAGGGAAATCAAATATTTTTGCACTAAAAAAAAAAAAGAAGCATTTCAGCACAACAAAATTCTATATAGCTCAAAAATAAAAATATAGAACGTAGGACACTAAAAAGTTAAACAAAAATATATTTAAGTTATCGCAGATTTTGGGGTCATTGAGGTACCCTTCGTTGGTTTCTATCCCATGAGTCTTAAGGCCTATTCACATACTATTACTGCGTTACGTTGAGATAAGCTTGCGAGTCTCAAGGTCATCATGGTTTGCCCGTCACTTACCGAGCTGTGTTTTTAATTTGTTCCCACATTTTCTACGAAGCACGTATGTATGTCCATGTAACTTGCCGTCCTACCTGGCAAAATATCCAAACGTAATCCAGCACTGCTGCGTAAGTGAGTCTTTACCCTATTTGTGAGCTGTCCCAGACAGTTTAAGGAAAATCGCGGAGAACTTCCAACAAAGTCGAAAGGAAATTACAGACCTCCGAAAGGAAACATGCGGAATATCTAGATTCCAACCATTCCCGCGTTTCGAATGATAACAATAATAATCTATCTTTCGCTGCATATACTGTATATAAGTAGGAATACAACTTACAAAATACAATTAATCTGAACTTCAAAATAGAAAATTAGGACTGTCCCTATATTGTAAATTCTGCTTCGCCAATCAACTTTATGACAAAATACCCTACCGTTTCCACTTGAAAAATGAAAATTTCAAGAACCAAAATATCAGACACGTGCCTCCTAGAACGCGTCACTTTTGCTTTGCGCTCGCGAACACGCTGAGGTGTAGAAGCAGGCTGCACAAAACTTGACGCTCTTGGGAATGTCCTTTCGCTTGGTCATACAAGCGCCGATAAGATATCTGAATTGCAAAACATTAAGCACATTGCAGTTTAGGGGTGATGTGGGGCTTTAGAGTAATCTTTTTATTTATAAAGGAATACTTATTATATTATGCACTTGTATAACACATCTCACACCTATTCCAAATATGCAATCAGATATTGAATATCTTTACTAGAACCCGAGTTATGGGAGATTGGCCTAATTTGATTAGGTGATTTGTTACGGGTCGTTAGAGAAAAAGTATTTGTAAATTATCAAAATTGTTAATGCAACTGTATTCACAAAGGTGTAATTTGTGCGGTGATGCTATTTTAGATCCTAACGGAGAGGGTTGTCACTAAAACACGATTGCAATTATAGTGTAAAAGATATGCTTTCTCATTATATAAGAAAGTAATTAATTGGATAGAACTCTTAAGCTGGGAGACTAAAATTAGCATCACCGCACAGCTCCTTTCTTCGCGATTAAAATGGCACCAAACGTGTTAATATTGTCCAAGACAAACTTCAGAAAACGCCTGTAAGGCATCGGTACTTGTGAAAAAAGTGTGAAAAGAGAAAAAAGCCCTTGAAGTATGTGTATTCCTACTGAATGTTCATAGAAAATTAAGACTTTATATTTTTCTTTCATACTTAAAAATCATATAGAGCCATAATATTTTGCACAGAGCTGGGTGGGTATGTCTAAATTCCAGAAAAGCCATTTTCTCAAAAGTGAATTTTCTCCAACTTTTTAAAATTTAAAGACCAGCCTCCCCCCTGAATGTTTCTTAACTTTTTTTAATGAACTCAATATCCTAAATCCGCCTCAAGAGGACAGTATTTAAGCACATAAAACTCGCATTTGTTTTTTAATTAAAAACAACTTTTTTATTGGTTGCATGTGTTTATTTCGTATATACCTCAGTTCAGCATTCCCGAAAAAGTCGACCCCCGAACATCGTGCAGTTCCTGCGGGGAGTCATGGCTACGATGCGAACTCTACAGACATGTGGGGAACATTCTACTCTAGCAGCCCAGGTAACTGCTTCTTGAATGCCTTTGCGTTCAGTGGGCTTGTATGAAGGGACGTGCTGCAAGTGATGCAACACAAAACCAAACTGAGGTTAGCATTTATAATAATAATAATAGGTTTCTTTACCATGTAAATATATATGGTCGGAGCTGAGGATAAAATCTGTCCAAGCAGCTTGACTGGTCCTGGTTGAATTTATAATTCGTGAGTTTTACATATCTACCGGCAAGGTAGGATTATACTTTTTTTAATTCGGTTCAAGCTAGAAATTTCCTCCTTTCTCCGGAACTGCATTGAGCTGACGGGCCAAGTGATTGTGGACAGTGTTTAAAAGTTTTTTGCACATTTTTTTTGTAATTTTTATTGGTCATACAGTTTATTACAAATATTTGAGATTTCTGTAAAAATGAAATGGCCTTTGTTTGAGTTCAAAAGGATGTAAGCCAAGTCTAATATCTGTGCACAAATGATTTCATGGATTAATTTATTACAATGGTCTTACGTCCTCATCTATTCATGCTCACGTTCTCAGTTTTTAGAGTTTCTCTTACTATATGTCTTATGAATTTTGTCAATTAACACGAGGACCAGCATACAACACTCGTATGACACCGTCGATGCAGTGAATATTGACACAACTGAAATATTTCGCATTTATGCTGTTTCTGACTAATTTGTAATCTCACTGTTTGTGTATATTGCCCAGGCATTGCCTGTATTAATGCGGACATAAAAAAATGAGTGAATGCATGAACCGCCACGCTTAAGTTCCCGTACTTGGTAAAATGAAATAGCGTTTTTCAGTTTCCACTAGCGACGACAAAAACTGTTGAACGGTGTTAAGTAAAACATTTCCTGAACAAATATGCACTGCTTAGATCAGCTAAAACAAGCGCAAAAAGATTAATTGAAAACTTCGATTGTTATTGCGTGAAATGTTTAGGTTCACACAAGAGTCACATAACGGTTCCCTTGGTAAAAACCAATACACATTAAGTATACTCATTTTGACTTATATGATACAAAAAAGTACCTTTGTAGGATAGTTATAGTATTCCTAAGTGTACTTTTAAAATAATTATAGTGTACTTCGTATTCTAGCGGTGTGACTCACGCTTAGACCCTGTCTGGTAACAAAATTGTTCATAATAAACGTATATACAGGGTCTGTCCCAAAAGTTCCCGGAATTGTTTTTTTTATAAATCATCTATTCAATATCAGTTTACAATCTTTTCAGAACTTTTCAAAGTAATCTCCCCCTGCTTCGATGCACTGTTGCCAACGCTGAACCCAATCACTGAAGGCGCCCTGGAAGCCGTCAATAGGAACCTCCTTCAGTGAGGTCGTCGCAGCTGCTTTTACCGTCTCCAGCGTCCTATGCCGAGTTCCTTTTAGGGTTCTTTTGATTCTTGGGAATAAAAAGAAGTCCGGTGGTGCCAGATCGGCACTGTACGGGGGCTGGGGCAGCGTTGGCACACACATTTTGGCCAGCAACTCGGAGACAATGAGCGCGGTGTGGCTTGACGCATTGTCATGGTGCAAGATCCAGTTGTCGCAAATTTCTTTTCGGACTCGTCGAACCCTGTTTCGCAACCGTTTGAGCACTTCACAGTAAAACTCCTTGTTGACTGTTTGTCCCTGTGGCGCGAATTCACTGTGAACGACACCTTTTCTGTCAAAAAACACAATGAGCATTGCCTTGATTCGCGATTTGCTCATCCTTGCTTTTTTCGGGCGAGGAGACTCCGTGGTGTGCCACTCGCTGCTCTGACGCTTTGATTCGGTATCGTACTCGAAAATCCACGTCTCATCCCCTGTGATCACTCTGTCCAAAAATTATGGGTCTGTTTCGAAGCGTTCGTGCAATTCCTGACACTTCAACAAACGCTCTTCCTTCACCTCACTCGTCAGGACCTTTGGCACCATTTTCGCGCAGACTTTCCTCATTTTAGATCCTCTGTTAAAATGAGATGAAAGATTGTTTTGGGTATTCCACACTCATCTGCGACCATTCGAACGCTTAATCGCCGGTCCTTGTCCAAAACGTGACGCACTTTTTGCACCGAGTCATCCGTTTGTGATGTCGACGGGCGTCCCGAGCGGTCGTCGTCGTTGACGGACTCCCGACCTTCCCGGAACCTCTTGTGCCACATGAAAGTTTGGCTTTTTTTCATCGCGTCGTCGCCGTAGGCTTTCCGAAGCATTTCGAGCGTCTCCGCCCCGTTTTTACCTAGTTGCACACAAAACTTGATTGCATAACGTTTCTCCAATAACTGGTCCATTTTTTTTCTCGACGAGGGTGCTGTAGATGCCTCTGCGCGGAGCGTGACCTGCCTCAGCAACTGATAGCAGACAACTGAGACCGGTCTCGTTTCGAAGCTTGTATCCCCCACTAACTTCTCCACCTGAAGCCCCACACCGCCAGGCGGCGTTGCCGACCACAAAAAATCATTCCCTGAAGTTTTGGGACAGACCCTATATTTGATATACTATTAGAAAACTAAGAATATACTTCAAGCATATTTGGCGTGTGTCACGTAAAAGTATAAAATGTGTGCATTGCTTTTTGCCAAGGGTCACGTAACAGTCTGGAAACAATAGGATTGAGCATTTATATATAGTACAATAATTCAACTGAAATTCGGCATGAGGTTGATATTTCATGCTTTCGTTTTCACAGCGATACTTCACGAAAGTAAAAAAGTGCCAGCATTGGTAATGGTGGACGTCTACAATGTGCTTTGCTACATGCTTGGTGTTGTACCACTGCGCAACAACGGGTCATGGGCTAGAGTGGAGGGCTTTATACTTCCTGCTTACGACCATGCATTGTACCAAACAATGCGAAAGCCGTGAAACACTCTGCTTGTGCTTGAAACAAGTGCTATTGCTCAGTGATATATATTTCATAGGTGTTTGAAATAAAATCTTACAGCCCATTTTTTGTGCATTTGTTATTCAATTCGGGATATTCATACTTGAATTAAGGTGTACGAAATTTATATTTTTCACAACCTAATTTTTCAAAACTGAGATACGGCGTAAAAGTTAGGAACAATAATGCTCTACTCAGAAACAAATTTCAGTGGAATTTTTGAAGAGAGAAAGATTGCGCGTGTCTACTTTTAATGGGCGCTCATGTATATGCTCTCTTGACTTTGACAACAGCGCGATAGTGTCACAAGACGTTGCCACTCAATATTGGGAATTGTACCACGTTTTTTTTTTTTTAGCCTGTTTTTACGGTTTTGTTTTTATATAGCCAGTCCCTGCGAGTAGCTGATTCGCTCTAGAAAACTGCCGAGCGAACATGACGCTACAACTTTATCTAGCCGCCAGGTGCCGTCGATTTCGCAGATGTCGCCAATGAAAAGTCTTTCTAACTAAGAACGATTTTGCATATCATTTCCATCAACCATATATTTGTTGCTTTAAAACGCCTACCCACTTGCTTACAGAACAAACGAACGACTACGATAAAGGTGGTAGGAAATTTGAGTCAAGAACACACGTCGATATATGTCTTGAAGCACGCGAGTTCTGCACATTCCCAATTAGCAGCATCTTTTTTATGCTGTACGGCGGTGCATTTAGGTATATGTGGCTACTACAGATATGCCTTCTTAGCGGTATTTATGCCTGGTTATACTATAGACCCTTCTTACAACAATAGCATGCGGACCTAGCATTCAGATGGACGGTTTCAAACTTTTTAATGACGCCTGGAATTTCTTTGCTATTCATGCAGAGTAGAAATGTGTCCGCGCTTCCCTCTATGACGGTAAGCGCAGTCACTGGCAGTATTAGAACGGCAAAAAACTCCTTCAGTTGTTCCGCCTGCTGCCCGAACTTACCTTTAATAACGCTTCGGCGTCTCATGAACGTCGAACGAGCACGCGCAGTCAAAGTACAACAAAAGACAACAAGCGCATGCTAGAGTCCGGTCATTGTATAAAGACTTTCCGACGTTCTTATTCTGCCAATGATACGTAGCTTGCACGTGACGTCATTGTATCCTGCTGGCGGTCATTCCCCCCTCTTGACGAGCAGAACAAATTCTGTTCTGCAAATAGTGCGCAGAAGAAAAAATCGCGATCAGCAGTAAGGCCATTACAGTGACTGCTGTTCTGACATCAGTGCATGCCCCGTATAAGGTGCTTGCACGAAACCATATGATGCAACGCCGCTTTCGGTTTTCTTCTGGCAGCCGTGCTGTTCGGACGCGTGATGGAGCGCTCTTCAGGAGCGGCGATAACGGCCAGCGACGGCCGTGGTAAATCTGTTCAGGCGGCGGTTCCTCAGGATTACGCGGTGGTTTTACCGCCGCTATCAACAGGCGTATCGATGAAGTGCAGCCTTGTGCTCCACTGTGATACTTCAGGGAGGCCTTACCGAGCGGAAGATTTTGTGCGTCCGCTGGAACAGCGGGTTTACTGCCAGACGTGGCTGGGCTGGGCGTGTACCAGATGAACCACGTCTGGCTGCTCAAGCTGCGTTCCCCAGAAGCAAAGGAAAAGCTGCTGAGTGCCGGGACCATTGAAGTCAAAGGCAAGTGTTGTCTGGTGATAGACCCCAACCGGCGTGAAATTAGAGTTAAGATACACTGGGTGGCGTTTGACGTCCCTCTCGATGCCATTGGTCGGGCCTTCGAGCCCTATGGCGTCGTCACGGAAGTGGTCCGGGATGTGTGGAAAATTAACGGTCTTTTGAACGCTGAATCGACGACCCTAACTGTCGTGATGACGCTTCGTCAGGACTTGTCGGAAGACAGCCTCCCACACCAGCTGCGTTTATTCGGAGGTACGGTCCCGGTTGTTGTGCCCGGGCGTGCGCCCATATGCCTTCGTTGTCGATGCAAGGGGCACGTCCGGCGTGACTGCAAGACGCCTCGGTGCACTGAGTGTCGTAGCTTCCGCCATGTAGATAAAGACTGCGCCAAGACCTACGCCGGTGCCGCAGCAAAGAACGGCGGAAACGATGTCAACGACATGGTGATGGACGAAGCGGAGGCGGAGGAGGCGGCGTCGTCGACGACGAAGGCGGGGAAGGGAGATCCGTGCTTTTCCGGAGCCAGTGATGGGGATGCAGCACGAGCAACCCCCCTTCAAGAAGAAGTTGGGATGACCCAAGAGCAGGAAGGTAGCCCGTCTCTGCAAGACCCAAAGAGAGCAGCAGAGGTACCTGCAGTGCCACCAGTCTTCAACGTAGGAGATGAAGACAATGATATGATACTGGACACGACGACAAGCAAGCGGAGGCACGAAGAATCGACTGAGGCATCCGATGGAGAGCCGACGTGGAGGCGCATCGAAAAAAAACGGAACGCTCCAAAGAGTATGAAAAGAGGCCCAAAGTCAAAACCAAGGTCGTCTTCCTTGCCTCGCGAGGATCTTTTGGCCGAATGAAAGGATCTGCTGTGCCAACGTGCTCTCGGTGCCGAACCCAACCTAAGCTCTGGACGCCCTCGTGAGACCACTCAACGTTGCCACTCTAAATGTGCGGGGCCTTGGGGCCAGGCGTAAGCAGTGCCAGTTATACCGCCTCCTAACTGAGAAAGAGCTGGACATCGTGGCAGTGCAAGAAACTAAGGTAGGGGGCAACGACAGGGCCGAGGGTATGATGCGACCTTTCGCGAGCCTCTAGGAAGCATGTGTTAATCATGCGGTTGGGATTTCAGGCGGTTGCTGTATTTTTCTAAAAAAGTCAATTGGGATAACGGAAAAAAGTGTTGTTGCGTGTGAATCAGGCAGATTAGTAATATGTCATTTTTCTTTTTCCGGCATTAACTGGCGTTTCCTGTGTGTGTACGCCCCAAATTCAGTTCGGGAAAGGTGTTCCTTTTTTTAATCCTTTTGCAACTATTTGAAGTGCGATAGGCACGTAATTCTTCTCGGGGATTTTAATTGTGTCTGTGCCAGTGAAAACAGAGTAAGCACAGTGCGGTATCATGATCAGAGTGCTGACCTACTTAGGGAGATGCTTGATGATTGTGAACTTGCAGACGTGGCGCAGTGTGCGTCGAGCCCGGGTTGTCTTCCGTTTGCGCATTTTCAGGGAACCAGCCATGCGCGACTAGATAGAGTGTACGTGTCCCTGGAGCTCGTAACTTGCTGCGAGAATTATAACGTCGATCATGTCGCGTTCAGCGATCACTGTATAGTTTCGGTACAGTTAGGAGGGAGAAGAAATTATTCAAAGAAATTTAGCTGGGAATTGTGGAAGTTAAACGCGAAGCTGTTACAAGACGAGATTTTTAGTGAGACGGTAAAGACCTCTTTCAGCAAGTATAAAGATAAAGAGAACATTAGCTGGGGAGAAAAGTGGGAACTTTTTAAACAAGATATCAAAATGAGCGCAATTGAGAGAGCAGGAAATCTAAAACACATCAAAAAAGAGAACGAACAAAAACTTCGTTCTAATCTTGGAAAGTTACTTAACCTTGAATGCCAGACGCCCGGATTATTTCGAGATGATATATTGCAGATATAAAAAGTAGACTGGAGGCAATAGATAAGGAGAGATACCGAGGGGCTACAGTGAGAGCACGCGCTGAAAGGCTATTGGTTGGGGAGATACCTACAAAAAGAGCATTGAGTGATGAAATGAAGTATGCGAAGGGGAATGAAATCGAGGAAATTGTCTATGACGGCGTACTTACACGCAATAGGACATGCGTGGAAGAAGCGTTCGTAGACTATTACAGAAACCTTCTCAGCAAAAAGAGTACGAATATAGACATCTTTAAAAAAAGATTCCTTCCAACAATGCCCCGGTTAGAAGAAGAGACAGGGAAAAAACTAGAAGAGCCGATCACCATGAACGAGATACATAAAGCGATTGACGAATTAAAAAATGGAAAATCGCCAGGCCCGGACGGTATAATTGCAGATTGTTATCAAATGTTTAGCGACCAATCCGCCTCTTTCTTATTTTATGTGTTCAAAGAGGCCTATACTAAACAACTTTTGCCACCATCCTTTTCGCGCACGTATACGGTTCTTATCCCGAAAAGTGACGACCGGGTTAAACTTCAGTCAGTCTCAGGGTACAGACCAATCACGCTAGCGAATGTCGACTACAAGATACTCATGAAGGTCTTGGGCAGGTGTATGCAAGGAATTATAACTTCGATCGTTGGATCGCATCAGACGTGCGGTATTCGTGGCAGGAGTATCGTTACGAACATTCATGTTGCTCGTAGTATTTTACAGTGCTCCGATTTGATGTTCCGCAAAGTGGCAATGCTTCAAATTGACTTTGAAAAAGCGTTCGATCGTGTATCCCATGAGATTCTTTTTTGTATCTTGCAACATGTAAACGTCGGTGACGTCCTCTTAGCTGGAAAACGGATGGCGTATCAAAATTGCTCGACACAGCTGATAGTGAACAAAAGTGTGACTGAAAGAATACCAGCATTATCGTCTGTTCGGCAGGGATGCCCCTTGTCGCCGCTTTTGTTTTGTATGTTTCTGGAGCCCTTTTGTTTGAAGATTATCCAGAGTGAAAATGTGCGAGGTTTCAGGTTGCACTCCAGCGAAGTACGTCTTCTGGCGTATGCTGATGATGTGGCTGTATTCTGTGAAAACGCAGACAGTGTGAGTAATGTAATAGCCATAACCAAGGAATTTTGTGCGGCCACCAACAGCTCGGTGAACTGGGAGAAGTGCTCTGGGTTATGGCACGGAGAGTGGGCATCAGCGCCGGTTTTGTTTGAGACCATAAAGTGGTCAACCTCGCCAGTTCGGTACCTAGGTGTGCCTTTGGAATCTTATCGTAATAGTAACGAATACTGGGACGAGGAAACATCAAAGCTTAGAGAAAAAACAACAAAGTGGGGTGGACGAGAATTATCAGTG